TCTCTCTCTCTCTCTCTCTCTCTCTCTCTCTCTCTCTCTCTCTCTCTCTCTCTCTCTCTCTCTCTCTCTCTCTCTCCCTCCCCCGCTGTTGAGGTCTTTAATACCTACCTTGGTGAAGAAGGATGCCAGAAGCTCAGCAAGCAATTCAGTGTTGTCTTGGCCATATCCAGAGGAGATATACTGCTGAATTCGCCGTTGACACTTGGCGAGCGTCTGATCATCTGGAGTGCATACCAGCCCCTGTGGACCATCTCCTTCATCTGCACCAGGTCCAAACCACCACCTCAGGCAACAGATACCACATATAAGGCTCAAATTACCGAAAGACATGAAAAGAAATGATTTTTCACACACGATTCACCAACGTTTTACTTCCACATTCTCTGGCCGTCAATCCCAGGAGCTCTGCTCGACTCTTGCATCATCATCACACACGTGTCCAGTTATACATGATTTTTTTTTTTTGCCAGTTTTGTTGCTGATCGCTATTTGGATTTTGTCAACCAGTCCATCTTCTGACATTTACCATGTCCAAGTCAGATCCTCACATCATTGCATGAATTTGCATCCTCCTCTACGATTCGAGCCCACGACCTATTATTTGTCAAACAGATCCACGGGTGCGCCATTCAAGTCAGCCCCAACAGGCAAGTACAGCAGTCAAACACACAAATCAACTTCCTTCCAAGTCCACTCCTTTATGGAAAAGAACTTTCTGTTTCTTACTCAGGCAAATATAACCTAAAAAAAAAAAAAAAAAAAAAAAAAAGAAAGAAAGAAAGAAAGAAAGAAGCTCAGAGTGTGGTGTATTCCATGCACAGCCTTGGATGAAGGTCATCCACTTCCGTACAGGAAAAAATAATAAAACACAGAAGAAAAAAAAGAGCTCTACAGTTTGCTGCGAAGTGAGACCTTATGGCCAGTACGGTTTTTTTTTTTCCAACTTTCATCCCAATGAGCAATCTATGAGCTTTGACAGACAGAGAGAGGAATGGAAAGACAAAAGGAAAAAAAAGAAAGAAAAAAAACAGCACCAACATGCAAAGTCCCAGGGATCCCTTCTCCATGGGCCATTCACATTCCCTTTTCCAGTGGTTTCTTTCATTTGACCTTAACTTAAGTTCACTTCGAATGGCTTCTTCTGCGGGCACGGCATTTTCATGCTTGCACAATAGCCCTTTATTTCCGCGAGCATGTCACAACATTGAACGTCTCGTGAAGGCATCAAACTCACTCCCAGACAGATGCTCACATCAACACTCATGTTCACAACGAAGAACGAGAGAGAGAGAGAGAGAGAGAGAGAGAGAGAGAGAGAGAGAGAGAGAGAGAGAGAGAGAGA